AGTGCTGTGTTAAATAGTAAGGACTCTGATAGATTATTTAAAAAAAAAAAAAAAAATACTGTCACAGCATGTTAGCCTAAGGGGAGTCAAGAAATTAATTCCTTGCTCAATCTGAAAAGCACAAGTGACCCCCCCTTTAGTAAGCTAGGCAAGAACTCTAGGACTGTTACATCCCCAGTATGGAGTTAAGTATTTTGCCTAAACCAATCAGTTTACTGAAATCTTTTTGTAAAGAAAAAATAAGTCAATCCATGTTATGAATGTTGGGGAACAGGAATAGTGTTTGCATTTCAATATCTTCATCTGTTTTCCTCATGAAAGGCTTGTTCATCATGATGACTGTTTGGATAGAGCACTTTATCCCCTTCTTACCAAGAAGCATTGGCTATGGACCAGAAAATGTTTTGTTTGCAAGATGTATACTGCTAGGTGAGTGACAGCTTTCTTCATTTTTAGTACTTCAGTTATCTGCTTTCGGTTTGGAGTTCAGAAGCTTTGTCTATGTTGCAGTGTTAGTGCAGTTGTGTACAAAGGATCAAACCCAGAGCCTACTGCCTGTTAGTCAGCATGAGGCTACAACCTATACAATTTTAAAACAAAGAAATATATGCATGAAGTTCAGAACAAACTCCAAGGAGCCATGCTTTCTCTGCTTCTTGGCTGTCATTTACATTTAATCTCAGTTATTCATGAAGCCAAAATAAGGTTTATGTTCCTGATCAATCATTGTGACATGACACAGACCTATATTCTCAGGACTGAAATAGGAAGATTTTGAGTTTAATGCTGCCCTGGGCACAGACCTCACATCCAGGAGGAAAAATGAGAAGGTGGGAGCACAGCACAATGTGGATTCAATCTTGAGTGATGTCAGCATGCTTACACTGTGGGAATTATTTCTATTCGTGCTTTAAAGATGGGGTCTCACATAGCATGAGCTGATTGTCCTCAAACCAATATTGTAAATACATTTCATCTTGAATTTCTGATATTCCTGCCTTAATCTCTTGAGTGCTAGGATTATAGCCAAAAAGTCTGGTAACTACTCAGGAAAATAGCTGAGAATTCAACATCTCCAGTTAGCTTTGGGTTCTATCACAATATTTGTCTGAAGGGTCATTAGTAAAACAGAAAACAATTACCAAAGTGAAAGTCCAGAAATTGGTTCAAATTTTCCAGAACATTCAGAAAAAAGTTAATATAATATGATAAACAAGAGAAACTTAAAAACAGAAATTTCATGTGACCAGTGACATGGCATGAAACAATCTCAGGTAAACACTGTTACCTGTACTCCATGTACAGACTGAACTGTAGTATTTTTATCTTCATAAGTAGATTAAAATGCATGCATTCTCAAAATAATCAGCATTTGTTAAAAAACAAGAATGATACAGTACAGGGATGATATGAAAATTCAAGTGTTTCTATAGTTTGATGTTATCTCCAGTCAATCACATTGTAGAGTAACTAGAAGAGCTTGGATATAGTGTCCACATATAGAATTATCATACTCTCTACTTAGATATGTATAAGTTCGCCTTTTTAAAAAACGTAAGTATTTGGTTGGGTATTCGGACATATGCCTCTATTCCCAACACTCAGGAAGTTGAGGCACTGGGTTCATTCAAGCCAGCCTGAATTACATCTGTTAGTTTTCCAGGGTGGCCTACTAGAAAACAAGTGAGCTACTTAAAGGACAGGTGTTCTCATAAATGTGTGTGCTTTCTGATTAAAAAGAAAAGATTGTTTTACATATTGATCCCAATACTCTCTCCCTCCCATCCCATTCCCCACCCACTCCCCAGGGAGGGTGAGGCCTTCTAGGAGGGATTATCAAATCTGTCAGATCATTTGGGTAAGGCCTACCCCTTCCCTCCTGTCTCTAGGTTAAGGGAGTATCCTTGAAAGTAAATCTTAGGAAACATGGTTGTGTCTGCAGCATTTCCTGTTGTATGTCCCTACTGTGTTGGTAGTCTGTTGGGGAAGTAGTGAGAATGTTCTTTGTGCATTGTTATAGAGCAATGGTTCACAACCTTCCTAATGTTGCAACCATTTACTACAGTTCCCAACCATATTTCTGCTGCTACTATAGTAATTTTGCTGCTATAAATCATACCCGATATGAGATCTCTGTTAAAGTCATTCAACAACCCCCCAAGGGGTCATGACCCACATGTTGAGAACTACTGTTATAGGCTGTAAATCATAATGTTGAAGCATAAAAACCCTAGCTGTAAAATAACATACTTTTTTTTTTTTTAAACTACAGATGGGTGACGAACAACGACACCTTTGCACCAGTTGATCCATGTTTCTTTTGTGACGTTTGCTTCAGAATGCTCCACTATGATTCCGAAGGCAACAAACTGGGCGAATTCCTTGCTTATCCTTATGTTGATCCAGGAACCTTTAATTAGTACCACCAAAAAAAAAAAAAGAATATTTTTTTGTTTTCCCTAATAAGTTTGGTTTAACATATTTTGCACTTCTTACATAGTGTTTTGTTGTTATGGCTTTTTATTTAAGTTGCTTATGTTACTGAGATATTGAAATGCTTTTTTGTACTCTGAATATAAACCTTCTTGGAAACACAACTTCTGATTCTTTTCTCCGAGTCCTGCATTCTGTACCCGAATGGGTTTAGCTAATGATAGAATGCAGTTAACAATAAATACATCAATTCTTAAGTAATCTTTTTAAAGAAATTTTTTGAAGGATGTAAGAACTACACCTCCTACTATGAAGCTGCCAAGGTAAAGACCTTTGAAATATCTGTAGTAAGGAGAGATTAAAAACAAATTATTGATAACCAACAGAAATTTAGGAGTAGTCAATTTAATTTTGGGCTCTTTGATTTTTTTTTTTTTTTTTAATGAGACTAGAATGAATCTTAAAAAAAAAAAAAACAACTTTAAGTTATGGTCATAGCATTACTCAAAGAGAAGCCCATTTCTTGAAATCACAAATACATTGAGTTTAAAATGTCATTTAAAGTCATGGCTGAAGAAAATAATAGATTTTACATTCCCATGGCTCACTTAATCTTCATAATACTTGAGCATGTAAAAATTAGAGAAAAGATTTCCAGTTTGGTGCCTCCATTCTTCTGCCTCCTTACTGTAACAATATAGAAAGAAGAAAACTGCTAGACAAATTCTATCAAATACTTTGTGCAAACTTTTAGGATAGGAAATGAACAGTTTATAATAACAAAGACTTTTAACCATTACTTTCTCTGTCCTAGGTTTTAAATTCAGCTGAATCTTCTTTTAGATGTCTAAGAACAAATAATTACCTTATATAAAAAAAACAAAAAAACAATGAAGCCTACACAGCTCTTTAAAGATTGGGAAGTTTAAAGACGTGAAGCATGTTTCATGGACTTAAATGTCACAAATCCATTATGGCGACTGACATGGAGATGACAAGTGCCTGCATGTGGTATGTCTGGAGCATTACTGTTGAGTACTGTAGCCAACACAGGGTACCATTTACTCATCAAAGCTAAGTTACAATGCACCTTAATTTCTTACTTTTCTGTAGTGACTGGTGTTAACATTAAATACACTGAAATTCCTAGAGTAATATGGCAGTTCATGTGGATATTTCACTAATGTTCATACTCTCCAAAAGTAAATTCCAGAAGTTAGTTATCCCTAATGCATAATAGACAAAGATGACAGATAACAGATAAACCACAGTATTTATTAAGAATGCTATTCTACTTCTTTTTTACCAAAAGTTCACATACTTTCCATTTCTTTGATGGTGGAAATAAGGAAACACTAACCAGGTTACTGCAATTATCAATTATGTAGGTATTCCAACTAGTTTACATAAAGAATTTCAAATTTATATTTACAAGCTCTAAAGCCCTTGACTTGAGTTTTTCTTTATGCCATTATTAAATACAACATAATAAATTTCATGTGTCACTTTAAGGACAGAGGTAAATATGAATGGCACAACTTTATCAGTGAACATTCTGTGGATATACCTGCAAAAGATCGCTGTATAGAAAATAGCTGTTTCCTCAAGCATCTTGCTTATGCTTCACAATTCTTTTAAGGATAATTACACCTTGTAATTTTACAGGAGTCATCCCTAGTTGTTGGAGAATTACACAACACAAACTTAAGTACATTTTTTAGTAATTTCTTCATTTTTTAAGGGTCTCAAACTACAATTTTGCTATTTGCAGTAGATAGTTTATTCTCTGACCAATGGAATAAAGTTTGTTAACTGAAATCTTTGATCTGCATTCAGGAGTAGATGGCAGACTCCATCTTCACCTGGCATTTTTAATCAGGTAAGTGGCTATGAATAGGAACATTTTTAGTGTACCACATCACTGTCATGGTAAAAATCTTTCATGCTGTAGAATTCCTAGCTAGAATAGCAAATATGGTCTAATGAGCTCTGCACATACTGTTTATAAATATAGACTTACAATCAGAATCTCTCATTAAGGTGAGGCATCTGAAATGGACTCAAACAGCTGAGAAAACTAACATTCAAAATAGGTATCCATACATGCATATACACATGAGTAGTATACAGTGGGAGAGGTGGCTATCACACTGAATAGATCTTAGTTCAGATGTGGATTTAACTAAATTTTTTGTTTATAGAATTTGAGAGTGATAGCTTGCCTGCAAATAAGCCCTATGACAGACAATGCCAAGATTAGAAAGAAGACAGCTGTGCTTCAAAAGAACATATACAGTCAAAGCAAGACAGCCCACCCAAGAAGGTACATAAACTAGGAGAGTGCTGCTAATGTTCTGGGGCTAAGTATGCTATAGCTTCTTGAAGCTTAATAATCACCTGTGCTTAGAAAGAAAAGGGAAATCAACACAAGGCAAGTGACTGCTTTCCTGAGGTTACTACTAACAGGGTCTCAGCAATAGCTAAAGGGGACACTACCTCCTTAGCAGGAAGCATAGAATTTTTTCAGTAATTCTTCTCAATTAGCAGTAATAATAATTTACTAAGAGTTTGGTAGAAAAATTTTTAATTAAAACAAGTTTACACATTTGACACTTATGGCTTAACTAGAATAATTTTTGTCCAAGTTAAAATTGTACTACGGACAAAACAGAAGACTGGTGTATATATAACATACAGCATTTGCCCAAAACAGTAGTTCAATCATAAGAGGAAAAGTCCAATTATTGATTAATTCAAAATTCTTTTCATAAGTGAAAACAAATATCTGAGAAATCAAGATCAGTATAATCAGACCACACACAAACACTGGTATTAAGTCACTTTCCCATTAAATTTCAAAGCACAGTAATGAACTTTTCCTACTGGAAACCAATAACTGACGTGATTATTCAGAATACCTTTGAAATGCTATCCCTTAATTTAACAGACTGTGATAGTCTACATTTGTGCATATGGACTATCTAGTTACTACTTTGAAACACCTGATGTTTCTACCTTTTACTTTTGTAATCCTGTGATGTCTGATACAGAAACTAAATACCAATCCCTTGTTTTCAATTATGTTAACTTCCTTATTTATATTTACCACTTAAGCATCATGGGTTGATTACAATTTAAAAAAAAGGGGGGGGGCACCTTAATGTGTGACCTTCTTAAAGAGTGCAAGATTTAAAACAAGTTTTAGGTTGTTGTGACTAGTAAATATTGTAAATGAACTTTCTATATATACCCAGTCTGTTCTCTTTAGTTCTGACTCCAATGAATTCCCAGACCTAAAACTAAATTACTTTCAAAAATTAACAGATTTGTACCTTCTAAAACAATCATTTGGATGTCTAGTTGTCATACAGACTACACATTATTACAAAGAAGCAAGTTAATGCAGCACAATAGACTGAGGTTAAAGTCAACTTGTGATAAAAAGGAGTGAGTGCTTAGAAGTAACATTCATTTTATCAACCATAAAAATGCTCAACTTCTAAAAAACCCACAAACAGTGGAAAGACAGTCTGGTAAATCCAAGATTTGTAAAAACTATGCACAAAACCCACAGTATTTGGGAGAAAAGGAACAATTTATACAAGTAGCAGTTTGAAAATGTAACTGGCCTACTACCAATTACACATGAACACACACACTAACCAGAATACACTAGTCATGTCTACAAAGCAGGCGAACCTTTCTAAGTAGGTTTCCCTCACACTTGAACTGGATGGAGCTGTTAATACTGCACACAGAAAATTAGTAATAATTTTTACTTTTACACAAACATAAAGGGATTTTCTTCCCCTAAACTACTTAAAACCTCAAAACCTATGCTTATAAAAATTTAACCCTTTCAGCAGCTTAAGTATTTCAAAATGAAGCCACTCACAACAGACTTCACATATTCTTTACACCCCACAACTGCCAACCTAGTTATCTAGTGGTGATTCCTTCAGAGATAATTCAGCCTCTCTCTCTTCTCCAGATGACCTAAAATAAAGGGAAAAAAGAAACCTGTTACAATAAGGTCTAGGGTTTTCTCTTGAGGAAAAAAAAGTCCCATTAAAAAAAAAAAGAAACACTAAGCATATCTAAAGTTAAAGTAATACACAGATCTGGTGAGAAACTAGATCTGGCACTAACTTTTAAGATAAATTTTATTTAAACATAATTTGTATCTGTGATGACAACATAAAATAAGAACTAGACAAATATCTAAATGATGTATCTTTATTCTATGTGCATTTGGTGTTTTGTCTGCATGCATGTCTGTGTGGGTGTTGGATCCTGGAGTTACAGACACTTGTGAGCTGCCATGTGGATGCTGGGAATGAAACGAGCGAGGATCAGCGCTGCAAACAGCATTCAGTGCTCTTAACCACTCAGCCATCTCTTATTTAATAAAATAAGATAGTGGCTGTACCTGTGACTTTTTTTTTTTTTTTTTTAATTCTAACAATTCAAGAAGATGTTAGGGTCACTAGCTAATAAAGTTCAATAAAAAATTGTATTCTTTCAGTAGTTCTCAATTGGAGAACTACAAATTCAAGGCTGACCTGGGGAATGTAGGGAGACATTGTCTCAGTAAACTTTTTAGGGTATTAGGGATGAAACAGTGTCACTATGTAGCCTGCATTCTATTACCTGGTGCTAAGTATTGAACTCGGCCTTAGCCAAGAGTTTCTCTGTGGTGTTGGAGGCTGTCCTGGAACTACCTTTTGTAGACCAGGCTGGTCTCAAACTCACAGAGATTTGCCTGCCTCTGTCTGCCTCCCGAGTGCTGGGGTTAAAGGTGTGCGCCACTACCGCCCAGCTGCTGTTGTTATTTTTTAAGGTACTTTCACTAGTTTGTTCAGGATGACCTCAAATAAACGTATGAGTACTCTTTCTGATGTTCCTCTGAACACCGGAAGGGAGCACCAGCCATCATGTGGGTGCTGGGAATTGAATCCGGGTCCTGTGGAAGTGCAGCAAGTAAGCTTAACCACTTGAACCACCTCTCCGGTTCATCCTGACTTTGTGATTCATAATTTAAGGCTGATATAGTGGCACCCACCTTTAATCCCAGCACTCTAGAAGCAGACTTACCTGAGTTCAAGACTAGCCTAGTCTACATAGCAATTTCAATAACAGCCAAGGATGCAAATTACAAAGTGAGACCTTTGTCTGAAAGGGAGTGTTAAACAAAAAAGAGAACTATTAACTATCACTCGGACATAGGGCTCAGTGATATAGTGTTTCCTTAGCATGGTTGAGTCTTAGGGAGGACTTTGGAACAGTATTATTGTGCTGAAATTATGAATTAAAAATAAATAAAGCCAGGTGGTGCTTTCACATCTTTAATCTCACCCAGCACTTGGGAGGCAGAGGCAGGCATCTGAGTTTGAGGCCAGCCTAGCCTACAGACTGAATTCTAGGACAGCCAGAGCTGCACAGAAACCTTGTCTTGAAAAGGAAAATAAAAATGTATTAGTCAAGGACAAGGGTAGTACCAACAACTGGGAAAGCCAAAGCAAGAGGATCTCTAGAAGCCACACTGAACAAGACCCTTCAAATTTTCCATTTTTTTTTTTTTTTTTTTTTTTTTAATGTGTATGAATGTTGTTCTTGGATGTACATCTCTGTACCATGTGACTGACTGGTGCCAAAAGGCCAGAAAAGGAAAGTGGATGCTCTGGAATTGGGGTTAGACCACTCTGAGCTGTTATATGGGAGCTGGGAATGGAAGTCCATCTGAGCCATCTTGACAAAGATCCATGACTTTTCTTACTGCCCTTACTTTTTCTTACTGCTGGCCTCGTGGCTGTCTTTGCTTTCTTCATTACTGTCACCATTATGTTGTGGATGACTACTGTCTTGAGTGTCAGATCCTCCATTTAAGGTCTTTGAACCTTTAGAATATAAAACTGTTAGCACATACAAAATAATACACTAAATTATCTTAAATATTCAAGGTCATAGCATGTAGTGTTATTTTTTAGAGAATTAAATCTTATATTAAATAGGATTTTAGAGCAAAAGGTGCTCAAAATATTCCAACTGACATGACCTTATCATTTTCCTGTAAAACTTACTAATAAGTCTCTAAGGGAATCTAATAAGCCAAAGAGTTTTTCTTGTTTTGTCTTGAAGGATTGATTTTTACCACAATGATATGCCAATTATGGTGGAACCAGCAGTGTTATATCTTGACCATAAGACTCAGTTTCATATACATAACTGTCATCTTATTCCTGGCTCCATCTATGCTACTATTAAGTGTAACAATTAAGTCATATAATATTACTTAATACAGTGCACAACATGCTCAGAGTAACTAAGCAACACTGAAAACCTGATGGCTATGATCAGAAAGAAACAAGCAATATCTTAGGCCCCAACTACAATGCAGCAGCTCTGGTTGTATGACTACTGTACATTGTTATTTTTTGGCAAATGAGAAGAAATGTTGGTTCTCTAGAAGACATTCTGATGCACAGCTTTTAAAAACTTTCCCAAAAACTAAACTGTCATTAACAATGGTTTTGATGGAAGTTTTACTGCTCTAGTCCTTCAAAACGCCCTACACAACATCATACCAGACTGTGTACAAGTACTCTGAGTTAATATAATCTCCACTGTTAATACTGATAATCATCTTGACTAAGAAACATTTCAGCTGGTTCAAGGTCAATAAATAAATATACAATGTAAAGTGGTTTCAATAACCACTTTTTCTTATATATGTAACAAAACCATTACAAAAGTAGTCCTAGCCAACAATTGACAAGTGGGAAACCCAGCTTAAAGTTATTAGCACATACCTGTTTGTTCCTTTTCTAGCTTTTTGTTTGGCCCTTTCTTCCCTTGATCTTTGGTTTTATTTGCTTCCTCATGCTGTCTTTGTTCAGCAAGGGATTTGTTCAGCACTTGGGTGATGACTGAATCTCCTTCACCAACCAAAAACATGTTCTTAAACTTGTTATATAACATTGTAGACTTTTCCATGATAACTTGACTAACTTTGAACCGCCGTATCTGAGAAAACAAGTCATAATTATTTTTCCTAATTAATTTACTTACACTTTTCCTTAAAAATGAAGAAATGAGAAAAGATGTGAGATTTACAGGTCTTAAAACCACTTACTTTCTTCAGGGTTGTGATCATCTCTGTGTGTTTCTGAGCTTGCTGCATTGTTACCTGAAGTGAAGCAAGTTCATCCAGTGCCTCAATGCATCTGTTCACATCCTTCATGACAAAACAGCAATTTCATAACTGTTAATTACCAATGTATCTATATAATCCACTTCTGAAGATATTTTTAAAGCTCTTAAGGCAGTAGGTACAAAAATGGCCAGGTATGGTTCCTTTTATCTTAAATTTACACACTTTAAGTCATGTGAGGAAATATATCAAGCTATTAAAGCAGTGCATTTTTAAATGAGGTTAAACACTTACTAGATTATCAATTTTGAGTGAATTTTTAATTTCAGCATGTATCCTTTGAAGTCGAGAATCCATTGATGTTTCTATAAATTGAAATATGTGAAAAACAGTAAATACTTTTTCCCCACACCACATCTCTGTACAGTCTAACAAATAAAAGAAATGGTGGTTGCAAAGTTTTCTTAGTAATCTTTTAAGAAGCCCATATAGATGAATAGTGTAAGAAATTACTTACTAAATTTAATATATGGTCTGGAGAAGAAAAATGCAGCATAAAAGCTCAAAATTTTAGCACTATGCTGCATTTTGTCTCTAAGCTCCTGTGTCCCAGATGATGAACATGTCAGCTCTTCTGTTTCACCTTACCCATTGTTAAAATGCAAGCTATTTATAAAAATGGGTAAACCTCCAGTGCTTAGCAGGGTTGCAAAACTGATACCAGATGAGCATTAAAATATACAGACATTAGCAACTTTACTTTAGTTGCTTAAAATGCAATTCAATGTAGAACCAGTAGACTTGAAAAGGTATGTTTATAGGATATAAGAACACAAGATGGAATTCCAAAACTCACTTTTAAATTGTTGACTTTAAAAATCTTTTAATCTATTTACTTTGGTTTTTTTAAGTCAGGGTCTTACTTTGTATCCCTGGTTTCCCTGGAACCTGGTTCTCCTGGCTGTGCCTCATTAAATGCTTGGATTACAGGCATGTGCATCACACCCAGCTTACATAAACTTTCTTTGTGTAATTTTGTATGTCTTAGAAAGTAAAATAACTAACCTCGCTTCTTCTCCACTTTCTTAACTTCTGGCTTCTTTCCTTCATCTTTATTCTGCCTATCAAATGTTAACACAAATATTTCAAAACACTGGAACTTTGTGACTGACGTTAGCAGATGCCCATATTCCCTTATGTAAAGGCTTAAAAAAATGTTCCTTAAAAATGATAAATCAGTCTACAACACAGGACACTGACTAGTTTCTAGAACTATGCAGTGCTACATTATTAGCATAAATACATGCAAAACTCAAACAGTCTAACTTAGTCTCTCAGGGACTTTGAAGCTATCACAGTGAAATATGACACTAAAAATCCAATTTCAAGATCACTGGCCAAATAAGCCAAAATGGGAAGTGAATACCTATAAATGCTTAATGGATTTTTATAAACTTCTTTTCCTATTTTTTTAAAGCATATTAAAGTAGACCAATTAAATTGTTCCCCACATCTCCAAAGGGCAGGTAATTCAAGGGACTTTGAAATTAGCTTCAGTAGAGATTAGACCTGCTTTAAGCTGATACTGTGGATTTTATTTTAAAATGGGAGAGGATGCCATTATTATCAAACTAAATGACATCCGCTGATATTTACATACCATTTCATAAATGAAAAAGAACCATATTACTAACAAAAATAACCTTTTAAATTAGAAATTTTAATTTCTAGTACCTTGGCTTGGCATTCAGGCCCTATTATGAACCAATTAAAATAGACAAGAACAAAAAATACCTAAAAATCAGGTTTTTTTTTTAAAAAAAAACTTTATTTTAAAATTTTGGTTACAGTTTCATTTTCTTAACAAGTCTAATGTTTAATCTCTCAGGATTAAAAAAAAAACAAGACTAAAGAATTTAACAACAAAAGAATTTCAAGGGTAGGGCACAATTGCCCCATTTTCAAGAACGTAATAGCTATTCCAGTTTAACACCTAGCTTCAAAACAAAATGAGTTTTCATATTTTCTAAATGAAATAATGTACAACCACCATCTTCATCTATGTTTGTTATAACTTTCAAACACAAAGCTTCATTTTAAGCTTGGTTTAAAAAAAAAAACAGGAATGATGGCCAACCTTAATATGTAGTGTGTACCTTACAGGATATTTTGTTAACAATCATAACACAGTTAATAATGCCATTAATAATGAAGTCCTCAATTTAGAATCTGGAACATTTCTTCCATCAAGGGGGGGAAGGGGAAATTCAGTCCAATGAGTCTGTCTCAAGATCTTCATCGCTTGTATGCTCCACTTGTATTCTCTTTTCAGTTACTGGATTAATGCTTTGAGCCCAAAATGAGATATATTTTTTATTACTGTAGATTACATGTTGTTTGGCTGGGAATACAATACAATAAACTTTATTTTGCATAATGCATTTCACACAAGTTGCATCTGAAATGCTTTACAGAGCAAAACTGTCCAAGTACAAAGTTTTGTAATAACAGGAGAAGGAAAGAAAACACAAATATTAGAATTTGAGAAAGTTACATTGGAGGACATTCAAAAGAAATTGAAATACAAAAAGATTATCTTGAAGATTCTGAAGAAGGATTGGGCTAGATTTACTAAGCAACAACTAATTTATGCCTTAAGTCAGGGAGCACAGTTAAAAGCAACAACAGTCACAGTTATTCAGTGAAGAGAAAGGACAGGAATAACGGCATTTACAGATATGCCCAAGGTCTGGCATTTTAATCACGTTTAAACTCCCTCAAGCAACTAAAGTGCTCTGTATCCTCCAAACAGCTACAGAAGCAGAGACAATGTATCTATAAAGATATTCAGCTTGCAGATGCATCATAAAAGCTAAAGAAAACTGTTTTTACTATTTGTCACACTATCTTAGTGACCTACAACATGTTTTCAAAATCATCTCACTAGCAATAAAAAGCACTGTTTTCTGACACTTTATAAACCAGGAAAAGTATCAGTCTAAAAGAGTCTAATGATAAACTAGGAAGCAGCTTTATGATAAAACATGAAGCCTAATTATCATAGCATGACTATGCCTTGTACTGACAAAATGTATACAATAAAGGAGGAAGACATTCCTCATGGTAAATGTATATTGTTTCCAAGTGTCAAAATGTAATTCAAAGTTAATTCATATTGTACACATAAAATGCAAGCCCTGCAAGCCTTTGGGTTTACTTTTATCGGCTTCTGGGTTTCCAACTGTGCTTCTGTTATTTTTACTAATTTCTATACAGGCCTGCTGGTGGTATGACAAATACAATTATTTCCTGTATTCTTCCTCCACCAATATTTTCATCATTTTATGTTTAACATGTTATACAAAGAAATAGAAGATAAGTACTCTGTAAAACACTAACAAAACCTAACTGCACTTTCACTTTAAATTACAAACAGTTCACAGGAGGACTACCTCAGTGAATTTCACGCTTTAAGAAAATAATAAGAGCCTGAAATAGCACATAGGGAGGATTTTTCTAAGATGGGAAATTGTTTCAAAAGACTTCATGAAGCCTGGAAAATGAGAGTCTACTTAAAAACTTTCATACTACTCTTTTTAAAAAAATTAATCTAAGATTTATAGAACTAAAAGAACACTTACTGCTCAGTTTCCATTTGTTCCTCTTGCTTGCGTTTCCGCTCTGCAGCTTCTTTCTCATGTTGGCCTTTCAGCAAGTTCCTTCTGTGAGCAGTCTGGAAGTTTCTTCCACCCTTTCTCTTCTGTTTATTTGAAATAACAATCTTGGTTTTAAAAAAAGCAATTCTCCTTAAGCAGCATGACCACACCTTAACCCTTCCCTGACAGTGGCTATTAGCCTGCTACCCTCCTGTACAAGTGAGCCTATGGCTAAAAGGATAACAAGCTATTTGTATTTTAACTTGATAACTGTGAAGCTATGGAATTAAGGTTTTTGGCTTTGAGCAGTGTATGGTAACACACACCATTAATCTCAGTACTAAGGAGACAGAGGCAGGTGCCCAATGAGTTCATGACCAGTCTGGTCTGCAGATTGATTAGCCAAGGTTGTATAGTTAGATCCTGTCTGGAACCCACCCCAAAATTAAAACTTGCTTTCTAAAATATTCAGACAAATCAGATATAAAAGCTCATATACCTCAGGACTATCCACAAAGATAGAGCTAATAAAATGCAATGGCATCTAAATAAAATTACACTTCATAAAATCTTACAATTTCATGTATAAATTCTATGTCTTTGCTACTCATGGTCATCTAGATTATCTACAACTTCTACTTACATATCTGGGTTAGTAGAAGTATGTTAATTTCTAGAAATAAAATTTCAAATGAGTCTTTTATATTAACAAGTGGAGTTCTATTAGGAAAGATAAACCCATGTAAACTTTCACAAAAATAAATGCTCACCGCATAAGAATTACACTATGTATTAAGAAGCAAGGAATCTATGAATTTGAGGACAGCCAGAGAAACTGTATTGGGGGGGGGAGAGCAAGGAAAACCTTTTTAAAAACTATTAACAAGCAAAGCATGGTGGCAAGCACTTTTTAGTCAAAGCACTCAGGAGGCAGAGGCAGGCAGATCTAGGAGTTTGAGGCCAGCCTAGTCTACAGAGGGAGTCCCAGGACAGGCAAGACTACGGGGGGGGGGGGGGGGCCTACCTTAAAAAACTTTAAAAGAACAAAATTACAAAGTATTTGGGGAAGTGGCTCTGTGGATTAAATGCTTTCAGTTCAAGAATAAATAATGTAAAAGCTGGGTATGACTGCACACATCTGAAACAGCTGGAAGGGATGGGGAACAATATCACAGGTAGAAAAAAAGCTGGCTGGCCAGTTAGTCTACAGATTCAGTGAGACCCTATCTCAAAACATAAAGTGACGGGGCTGAATATGAATTGATAACACTGTTGACAACATTTAACTGCTCTGACAGAGGACCCAGCCTCAACTTCTAGCACCTACATGGAGGGTCTATTACCATCCACATCTCCAGTTCAGAGGATCTGATGGCCTTGTCTGACCTTTGGAGATACCAGCACACACATACATCCAGGAAAAGCAATCACACATGAAGACAACATAAAAATAACAATGAGTGATGGTGGTGCCAGTTCTTGGGAGGCAGGGGCAGATTGTTCTGAGTTTAAGCCAATCTGGTCTACAGAGCAAGTTCCAGGACAGCCAGGGCTACAAAGAAACCCTGTCTCAAAATTCCACCCACACAAAAAAATTAACCTAATGTGGAGCTAGGGAGATTGTTCAGCAGTTAATGTTCCTGGTATGTAAGCAACAGGATTTAAGTCTGTATCCCCCAAAGCCCAAAATTTCAAATAATTGTGGTCCACCCATAAGTACAGCCTTGGTAGGCAAATACAGGTCATCCCCAGAGCAAACTGCCTACCAAGATTAGGGTTTGCTTGAGAAACTCTTCTTAAAGAATCAAGTCAAAAGCATCTGAGAAAGATAACCCACATCCACCCAAGGGCACATGCAAACCATACAAGTACAAAAGTACACAGAAAAAGGACACCTGATTATCACAAGTGTGCTATTTTGAATATATACAAACATACCATAAAAATGGGGAGGGTATGAATATGATTCTACCTTTTCACCTTCTTGATCATCTTCATCTTCTGAATCAGAGGTTGATGTAACCCCTGGTTTAGCTAAATTTTTCCGTTTAGATTCCACTTCTTTCTTCCCCTCTTTCTTATCTGGTTCTTTTCTTGACTTATCCTCTTCCTTTTGACTTTCTTCTTCCTTTTTTAGCTGCTTTTTAGGTTGTTTTTCCTCTGGCCCTTTTTTTTTACTTTTGTCTTCATCAATAACCCTATGTTAGAGCACAACAATGGAAGATGAACTTTTATGTATTGTATTCATTTATAATTTTTCTTTTTTCAAAGACTTATTTGTATTTATGTATGTGTTTATACGTACAGAGGTAAGCATACTTTTAACATCTGAGCCATTTCTTCAACCTTCATTTATACTCCCTTATTCTTCCAGAGGGCCTGGGTTCAAATCCCAGCAACCTAGTTCCCATTTAGTAAAATTATATTTTACATATTTATAACAGTATTGGTTTTAGGGGCTGGAAAGTGGCTTCATGGTTAGTAATGCTGACTGCTCTTCCAGAAGGCACGGGTTCAATTTCCAGCACCCACAACTCTAATTCCACCTCACAGAGAAATACATGCAGGCAAAACAACACACTTGGTTTAGAAATAAAATCAGTCATTTGTAGGGACTGAAAAGCATATAATGGTAAATATATGACCAGTTACTTTTATTAAGCAAACCATGAAAGCCACAGACTTAAGGAATAGTGACAATTTTTTAACGGCAAGTAAAAATTATGTATTAAATACATATCCAAATACCAAGAAATGGATACACAAATATACACACAGTCTTGGCCAAAAGAACTTGTTGTGTGTTTGTTCCACTGCCATTTTTCTTTGTTGCTGTTCATTTTTAACAGCTAGCTTGGAAATAAAGCTCTTTTTAGTGTCAAGTTTTGGTTGAAAAGTACAGCCCTCCAGTAGTATTATTCCTGAATCAATAATCCTTCAAAGAATCAGTTCAGGAGTGGAAAGATGGATTAATGGTAAGAATACTTGCTCTTTCAGAAAACTAGAGTAGAGTTTGGTTCCCAAGGCAACCTCAGATGGCTCACCATTATAAACTTTGTTCCAGTGGATCTGATACCCTAGTCTGACTCTAAGAGCACCTGGGCATATGGGCATGTGTACATGCCAAATGCTACCATACAGTGTTGTTTTATTTTTTAATCAGTTGTTTTTGAAACAGGGTTTCTTTGTGTAGCCCTGGCTGGACTTGAACTCACAGAGATCAACTAGCCTCTGCCTCCAGAGTGCTGGGACCAGAATCATGCGTCACACCAGCCCTGCTTAGTAAATCCACCGATAATTGAGTTTAGATACAATCATCATTTCCTAAATATTATATCCCTTCTCAAGTTGGGAAAAGATGATTGGGGGGGGGGCAGCAAACCACTTCTTGCTTTAGTAACTGAATACTTAGCATTCTAAAATTAATTTTATACTATTTAAAAAAAATATGTATGTATGTATGTATGTATGTATGTATGTATGTATGTAACATAAAAAGGTAGTATTTGAATTCTACTTTGGGTATAAGCTGCCCAGAAATTTCTCCAGCAATCTACCCTGCCCCTTTTATCCTAACATTACCAAAGTTTGTTATCATACCCCAAAAATAAGGTTAATAACCAAATTTACAATCCCAAGAAATCCCGTTTATACTAACCTCCATTCTAATTTCACAAATATCAGAATAGCAATAGAAGCAAATACTATATATAACATATGCACACCAAAAAAAAAAAAAAAAAAAGAACACAAGTTTTCTACTTATTTACAGAGGCCTCAATAGCTAATTTTATATTAAAAATAAACTCACATGTCACTCTCTGAAGGACAGGGCTGTTTTACCACTTTAGGTCTGCCTCTTGGTTTTGGAATCTTGACTTCAGTAGCTAATTTTCAAATAGAAAGAAAAAATACAATTTCCCTTTTAAATGCAAAGCATTATATAGAATACAAAAGTTGTATAATATATAAAAAGTATTATTTAAGGGTGTAACTAGTAACCCCATGCATCAAGAAAGTGAAAATTTAATGCATTTACCATAAATTTCCATTTGTCCTTATTATATTTGACAGATTAAAAACTGAAAGAAGTGGAGGAAAGGGAATCTATCCTCAGTAAGTAATATATAAAAGAATAAATTTTGAAATATGTATATATTTTTTAAAAACCATTTCATTGCTGTTTAAACAAGTATGAGAAAACAATATCATTTATTCAGAATTCATATTTCTATAATAGTTTTTATATATTTTACATATATATTTGGAACTTTGTATCAGTATTGACCAAAATCTTTATTATCACCAATTTGGTTCATTATAATACTACAAATCATATAAATAGATTTTAATTTCTTTCTTTCCCAATCTTGAAATTCCCTTAACAATTTTCAGTAAATATCCTATTATGAGGTAGGAAAAAATGGCTCTACTCTGTTTGATTTTTTTGTTTTACTCTGCCAAATTGTTAAATCAATACTAAACAAATATCCTATCGGAATGATTTTCTGTTTGTTTCGAAATAGGGTCTCTCTGTGAAACAGTCCTGTTGTCCTGAAACTCACTGTAAATAAGGTAGGCCTTGAACTCAGAGATCCGCCTCCCTCTGCCTCGTGCTGGGATTAAAGGTGTATGCCATGTGGTAATGTTTTAAAGTGACACATGACTGTCTTTAATCAACTGCTTTTTATATTATTCAAAAACACTTGAGCCAGCAATGTTTTAATGGACTGGAAAATTAATCACAAGCTAAGAAGTATTTAAAGTCTAATGGTCTACCTGCAGGTCGTCCTCTCTTAGGACTTGCTTTCAAGTTAGCAGAAGCTGTTGCTGCAGCCACCATTCCTGCTTCTTCACTTTCCACTTGTTTTTCAGCCTGAGTCACAAAATTTTAATTAACTTATTTAGCAAAACCATATAATAACATAAATATCAGCATACTTTCTATATGATTTTATTACTTTTGAACAATAAAATTATGAGTATCACCTTTTTTTTCAATAACCCTTTTAAAAATTCCTATTTGAAAAAATAAGGGTAACATTTTTTTGATGAGAACCAAAGTATAATGCAATTATGCAGTTAACAAATCACACTGCTGTTTTTAATTCATTAATTTTGCTAATATACAGTTGCTTCATCTTTCAACTGAGACAGACATCTGATATTCTCTTATAGGAGCCACTTTTATTTTCTCATAGAAACCTTTCCAAACTACAAGGCTGAAAAGTTAATGTGCCCAAACTACAATCAGTTATTACTGACTTAAAGCATTTTGGGAAAATATAAGGGTAAGAACCACATATTAGACATGAAATGAAAACATTAGGAGATACATGGTAGTGATTATAATTGCAAAAGGAGGAACAATTAAAGGATGTAAGAACAGACATTAAAGAGCCACTTGAACTTAATTATTACCTGTGCCTACCTAAGAAAGAGCAAGATTGTACCCCAAAACATGTAGAATCCAACTTGATTAATTAAAATTCAATATATTTTCAAAAAAATTAAATGTATTTACCTTTGGTCTTTAGTAAGAAACACCATTCCTTTTGTTACTTCCAATTGAGGGGAAGGACAGAAATATACAGCCAAGAACATGCAGTGGTGGTGCATGCCTTTAATCCCAGCACTTGGGAGTCATAGGCAGGAGGATCTCTGTGAGTTCAAGGCCAGCCTGGTCTAAGAGAGAGTTCCAGGACAGGCTCCAAAGCAATACAGAGAAACCCTGTCTCAAAACAACAGAAGGGCATTTGCCACCAGGGTTCCCCCAGCTCGATCTACCTTTTAAATCAATGATGCCCAGATTAGATAAGGCTCTATTTCTGAGAATTTATGAGTAATGCATACTCAAAATATTAAAACTGACCAAAGGTTACTTTTTGCTTGTCCTAAGAAACAAAAGAAAAATTGCACATTAAGAGCTGGGGTTAAGACTGATCTGGATCAGCTAGGCAGTAGTGGTGTATGACTTTAGTCCCATCACTGGAGAGGCAGAGTGCTATCTCAGTCTAGAGTTAGTTCCAGGACAACTAGGGCTGTTACACAGAGAAACCCTGTCTCAAGGGGAAAAAAGAAAAGACTGAACTGGACAGCCAGGGCTATTCCACACAGAAACTCTGTCTCCAAAAACCAAAATTAAAAAAAAAAAAAAAAAAAAAAAAAACCAAATCCAAATATCCTGTAACCCCATGTTAAAGAACCAGACAACTATATTTCCATAAAGCTCCTCAAGTGCCAAAGGTGAAACTCTTTCTACTGCTAACTTGGTAAAGGTCAAAGGTACTTCAAAGTTAGGTTCAAACAGATTGAACAGCTCTTCAGGCCAAAAGGAACTTAGTCACTTACCCTTTCTGCATTTGGAAATAAGTCGAAAGCAAGTAAGAATTACAGGTACAATGGATCATTTGAGAAGATACCAATAGACAGTTAAGTGACATATTCATGAATAGTTAATACAATAAAAAAGATAAACTCTAACATTAAAAATTGGCCCTACCATGGATAGGTTTACAACTATTAGTGCAAAATCATGCAAGTAAAAACCATTTCTCATGAAAATATTTTGACCAAAGTACTAATTCAGTCATTTGAAATGTATGTATATCTTTAATATTCACATTTTAACTAGATTTTACTTAAAATGCTGGATTCCTCCTTTCTCATTACTATCCCAATATGCATCTGTATTATTTTTCTCTTTCCTAAAGCCATTCCATATGCATAATAGATTCATATTTGTTTCACAAATCCTGAACAAAGACTACTAAATTTAAGAAGCCTAGGAGGCAGGGTGGGATAGAGTACAAACATGAAACCACTTTCTGTATTTGAAGGTGACATCTCAGATCTGTTGTTTATTCTTTGACCTTCGACAAGTCCTGAATAGCTAACATAAACTTTTATCCATTTATCCATTGAACCAAAATCTTGATCTAAACTGAATGAGAAGAGGAACTACAGCTAAAAAGAATTCCCTTGATTTCCCCTGAGTCAAAGTGAGCGCATCTCTTCCTTTTAAATCAATCCCTTCAATCCACCTCACTATCAAATTTTCCTAGTTTTGCTAGGATTTTTACTGTTGTTTCACATTAAATGGTTCCCTTTATATATGCAAATCCTTGATGCTTTTACATTACTTTTCTATTCTCTGAGATTTCAAAAATAAGTTACCATTAAACATTTATTCTTCAATCTATTCATCTCACTTCTGTCCTAAGCACTTACCCTAAATGGAACTGAAATCTCCTGAATAAGCTAACTACCATACATCTCACTGGATCCTTTGTACTGAGCACTACTGTTTCCTGTTGCTTAAATGTAACTTCTGGTTTCTCTTGATCGGTCTTCCAGTCACCATTTTCAAGAGGCACCTTCCCTCAACTCCATTATATCCCATCACAGTTTTGGTTTCTGCACCTACCCCTCTAATATCTTACCTTTATACCAGTGGCTCTGTCGTTCCCTCTTTTGTACTTGTACTATTATAGGTATCTTCACTGCAATTCCCAAGTGTATTTAACATTTTCTTCTGACCCAAAACCAACTTGTCTCTGTCCATATCCCGTACACAGTCACTCAGGCAAACATCTTGGAGTCTTCATACAGTCTGCTCTTTACCTTCTATTTCATTTAGCTATCACTGAATTTCCAAGTGTTCTAAATCCCATCTCTCACACTAACCAAAATAAGTAACTTGGAAATAAGGCCTATGTCTATGGAATTCAACACGAACTCCTTAGAAAGGCCTTTTATGACCTACTCACGCTAAGCCACTGCTATGTCCCCTCACCTTGTTACAGGCATTTAAGCAAATACCAGGTGAATATCAATGTTTCATGTACACTGTACTGCAGTCTATTAGATATATGGAAATATTGTCTTAAAAAGAACAATGCACGGGTCTGGAGAGATGGCTCAGAGGTTAGCACTGGCTGCTCTTCCAGAGGTCCTAAGTTCAATTCCCAGCAACCACATGGTGGCTCACAACCATCTATAATGACTTCTGGTGCCCTCTTCTGGTGTGCAGATATACATGCAAGCAGAACACTGTATACATAATAAATAAATCTTGAAAAAAAAAAAAAAAGGACCAATGCACATAACTCAACTTAGGGAAGTTAGGATAGGCATTTAACTCAGGGACAGACCTCTTGCCCACCATGTGCAAGCACTGATTGAGTCCCAGCACCAAGAAACAAGACTCATTGGTTTAAAATGCTAGCAAACAGAGCTTTGGGTACCTATCCAGTGGTAGAATTTCTGACTGTAGCATGTTGAAAGCCCCAGGTTTGATCAACATGGAAAGAGAAGATCAAAATGCTGTTCACCTGTGCCTTCAGTAAGCCACATTGTTTTGCCAAATAGAGAGCCTTACATTGGTGTTGATGGCTACAACTTAACCAGCATGGTAGTTACTAAATGTAGTAGTACCTGTGGCACTTTCTTAAAATGAGACAAAAAAAAAAAAAAAAAAAATTGAATCTGTCCCATCAACTGATTTATTTCATGCACAAATGTTCCTTTGTACTATGCAGGAATCTTTTTTTTTTTTCAAAATAGCAGTCAACTATCTCAAAATCTGTTGCTGCTTTATCAGCCATGTATATAATATCCTAAATCCTTTAGTGTCACTTCAACATTTGCAGTCTCTTCACCAGGTGAGACTCTTATCAAGAAATCACTTTCAATGCTCCTCAACAAGTGTTAATTTATCCACAGGTAGGAAAACATTTTCACTGAGTATTTGCACATTTCATCATATGACAGCACCTCAACAACCAGGTGTGCGTCACTGAACATCTTTAGAAAGGACTCCATTTCCTCAGCAGTAGGACTCCACTGCAACCAAGCTGTGAACAGTTTCCATGTAGGCTTTCTGGTTTCATTTATAATGAAGAGGCAGGGTTCATTTAGTTTAAGTCCTAAATGGTCTAGGGTTTTCAAAATGGGTTCATTTTCAAGTCACTACATGCCCCAGACCCAGTGATCACACTGTCTTCTGAGGTTTTGAATAGAGACACTGAGTATATTCTTAGATGGCAACTTCTTCCAAAGTAAGGCTGTTTCCACTGAAGATTTCACTGAGTGTAGTCACAGTTATCTTACCTACATACGGGTAACTTAATGGAGCTTCTCAACGCCTGATACTTGCAGCTTTATGTTGTGCAGGCAGCTTCCTGCTATGCATCTCATGATCTGACCCATGACAGTTTCATCTGTTCATCTGTACTTTTCTCACCTCCCTGAGCCTAGCCTTGGATTGGCCTTTGGCTCAATCTTCTATCCTGACCATTAACACTTTCTCCTTAGCACCAATGAGTCTGTTGTACTTTCTTACCATTCCAGCATTCACTTGTCCTGCACTGTGAATTTTGTACAAGAACCTTTGCTTCTAATTTGCATCCGCAACTTGGCTTACAGGCCTAAGAAGTAGGTTTAGCTTTCAGCTTACTAACATGCCCTCCTTACTAAGGTTAATCATTTATAGCTATTAGTTTAAAGAGCTTGCCTGTGACTTTTTCTACCTGAAGACCTAGAAGCCTTTTATAAACTGACTAATCTCAGTATATATCTAAGACTGACAATGACCCATAGGGGAGTAGTCAGAACATGTATCAATTAAGGAAGTTGTCATATGTAAGCAATTTGTAACGCCTTTAAAAACTATCAAAGATCATTACACCACTTAACAAATATAACAAAATCTATATATAGAATTACTATAACATGACACAAAATGAACACATATTGTTGGAAAGACTAGTTCAACAGAGTTGCCACAAATCTTCAGTTTGTTAAAACTCTAGGTGGGCTGAACATGATGGCATAGGCCTTTAACCCCAGCATCCAGAAAGCAGAGGCAGACAGATCTCTATGAGTTTGGAGCCAGCCTGGTCCATACAGTGAGTTCTAGGACAGCCAGGGATACACAAAAAGACCTTGCCTCAACAAAACAAAACAAAAACAAAAACAAAAACAAAACAACAACAACCATTTTGTATTGCAGAGTACAATAAGCAAAGCTCAAAAAAAATGAAGCATTCCTGTTTTTATTTTGGTTTAAAAAAAAAAAAATCAGCAAGAAACCTGATTTATTCACTGTGCCAGTACAATCAATTCTAAAAATCTAACTTTCTCACTAATCTGATCTCATTGTCCTAATATAATTTCTTCTCATCACACTGCCTTAAAAGGGGAGTCACATAACATTTGGGATGATTCAATTATTTCCTATAATTTCAGTTCCTCAGAAAAACATTGTAATTTTACAGCCATTTCCATCCAACTTTAAAGCCTATCAATAATAAATTATGCATCACAAAGTCTTGAAATTTCACTGTATGCACCTGATATATACCCTCAGATGACCTGCTCCTTTCTTTCCCTATTGTTTAAAACTGGAAAGTTATTACATTAGTTGCCACATGTACACCAGAGGACAAAAAAGCCACTATTCTATTACTTCATGAGACATTAAATTCTACCTTTGGCATACAAACATCTAGAATGTAGTAAGTAGGATGAATCAAAGAAAGGTGTGAACAAAATAAACTAAAATGAATTAAAAGCCTATGAAATAAATACCAAGGGTATACTGTCATTGCCAATTTCATTTGACACAACAATAAACTAGCACAATGGACTACAGTCATGTATTAGTATTGAATCATATAAATATTTTACTTTATTAAATTATCAAGAATGTGATTATAAAGCTTGAGAGATGGCTCAGAGGTTAAGAGCATTGTCTGCTCCTCCAGAGGTCCTGAGTTCAATTCCCACAAGCACATGGTGGCTCACAAATATTTGCAATGAGATCTGGTGCCCACTTCTGGCCTGCAGACATACATGCAGGCAGAACACTATACATAATAAAAATAAATCCTAACAACAAAATAATGTGATTATATACTTTCCCTTTTATAGAAAAAAAATGAAGCAAAAGATTGAAAGCAATGAAAACCGGTTCACTTTTTATTTCCTTTCATTACCTCAGCTTAAAGTGAAGGGTACCATAGCTTTAAGTAACCAACTTACCCTTTACAAATACAAGGGCATAGATCAAGTGCAAATAAGTTTTCCTTTTCTCCATTTGTCCTCACACTAGGTAAAATTTCTTAAAATTCCTATGGTGTATTAAGGAAATTACCTTTCTCTTTCTTCCTCGCCTGGCAGCTTTTGGAGTGGTTATGTCGACTGCTTTAGTCACATCCTAAAACACAAAACAAAAACAGACAAAACTAGCAAAAGCCACAACTGAAATTGAATAGATTATACAAGAGTATGTAAGATATTTTCTTAAACTAAAAGTCACAAACACGCTTCACTGAAAGTGCTAGATGAAATCTCTTGGACTTTAGAATTATGAAGTCTTAGTATTACAGTGACAGCAACAATTAATATATTCAAAACAGACTACCTGCTATTTTCAGAAGTCTGAATATGAGTGGTTTCGATAGACTCATATATTTGAATGCTTAGTCATCAAGTATGGCACTGGGAGTGGGCTTTGAGGTTTCAGAAGCTCAATCCAGGCCCAGTGTCTCTCTCTTCCAGCTACCTCTAGATCTAGATGTGGAACTCTCAGATACTTCTCCAGCACCATGCTCCCATATCATGATGATAGATTAAAACTTTGAAACTGTAAGCAAGCCCCAATTAAATGTTTTTGTTTTTATAAGAGATGCCTTGGTTGTGGTGTCTCTTCACAGCAATAGAACAATAATCAAGACAGTCTACAATGGCTGAGTATCTCTACTCAGATAATAAACCTAGTTTTAAAATATTTTCAGTCTAATTTTCTAAAGCATTTTTAGCCCACAATTTTCATTTTATGTGCATTGGTGTTTTGCCTTTGTGTTTGTGTGAAGGTATTGGGTCTATTGGAACTGGAGTTACAGACAGTGGGTGCTAGGAATTGAACTTGAGTTCTCTCAGTGCCATCTCTCTTGCTTCATTTTATAAAAACAGTATCCCTAATAAAACTAACCTATTTTATAGTTATACCTGTTTTGCACTTAGAAATAATTTCAAATAAAAACATCCATCCAAAAGCAAAAAAGCTCAGTGGTTAAGAGCAACTGCTGGTCTTACAGAGGCCATGTTCTGTTCCTAGCACAGTGCTCACAACCATTTTTAACTCCAGTTCCAGGGTATCCAATGCCCTCCACAGGCGACAGGAATTTATCAAGGGCTTAACATGCATAAACCATTTTATAAACCAGATTTAATTTTTGAGGAAATAAATCTGTTTTCATTCAATTTCAAATATTTTAAAGATTACTTCCTAATCTGCCAGTTGACAAACGTTAAAATTTCTTTCTTGTAATAATTATAAATACACAGGCAGTATTTAAGACACCCTCAGGACTATTCCTCCCTTGCAGTGTGCTCAATATAACTACTTTCCATAAATATATTTTCTTCATTTCTTCTTAAACCAGAAAAGATATAAAACATACTTCATTGCTGGCTTTTTCTTCATGATCAGTATCTTCCTTTGAAACACTAGTTTCTTTTTCTTCAACTTCAACATCAGATGATGCATTTGCTTGTTTAGTTGATGCCTATGGAGAATAAATTAATTTCTAAAAACTGGTTTACCCAACTTGAAAACTTTCTACTCATGAAAAATATAGTTAAGGAGTACCCCAATTTCTTTTGCAAAGGACATTTAATATACGTAGTTTTTAGAATTTTATAGCAGAGAGTGGTACTACTATAATCCCAGCTTTCTAGGTAGGAGAATGGCTCCAAGTTTGAGACCACCCTAAGCTAAACAAACAACTAGGTATAAAGCCAAGCTGGGATATGTAGTTGACACCTTGCCTCAAAAAAACATTTTAAACTGTCAATTAAAATAATCAGTTTTTGCACTCAGGAGAGTGAGGCAGGTAAATTCTGAGAGGCCAGCCTGAGTTTTACATCAACAAACTAAAAAGGCTGGGAGTGGGGTGTATCACTACTTTAAAACTACTGAAGGCTGAAATGACTAACTCAGAAAATCAAAATGTTTCAAAAATTCCAAACTTTTTTTGACCACAAATTCTTTTGTAAAGGAATAAAACAATGTAAAACTCTCATTGAAAATTATTCCTTAACACTACAAAATGTTTTACGTCACAATGGTCAGATTTCTTTGTTTTAAATTAATTTGAATAATTCACTGATGTGGGCCTGAGAATCATGCATCAAATCAGCAAGTTGATCAGTGTGCCTAAGGACTGTGGCAGTCACAGGTACAGAAGCAATTACAGCATACTATGCTGAGTACCATGACAAATACTAACGAGATGGTAAGGGACTTAAGATCATTTAAGGAAGTCTTGGTATAGCAAGGAAAGACAAAATTCCACAGAACATCTAAAAATTTGTCAAAGGCAAGAAACAGTATGGTAAATATGAAAAAAACATCAGATTTTTGTTTGTTTGGTTGGTTTTTGTCCCCCACCTCAGGGTTTCTCTGTGTAGCCCTGGATGTCCTGCAACTCACTCTATAGACTGGGTGGTCTCGAACTTACAAAGATCTGCCTTTTCCTGCCTCCAGAGTGCTGGGATTAAAGGCATGTGCCACCAAGACTAGCAAGAAGCTATTTTTACTAATAAAAATGTGAAGAATAGTTTCATAAACATCCAATTGTAAGTTCTCTAGCCCTGGTGTAAACAGTGGTTGGGTTTGGCTTTGTTTTTCCCTCCAAGACAAGTTTTCTCTGTGTAGCCCTGGCTGTCCTAGAAGTCTCTTTGTAGACCAAGCTGGCCTTGAACTCAGATATCCGCCTGCCTCTACCTCCCAAGTGCTGGCACTAAAGATGTATGCCATCTCTTAGCAGCTACACTGGCTCATTTTATCTAAGTTATAGAGCATTCAAATATTCAAGAGTGCAATTGGTAATTTAGAAAAACATTATTAAAGTAGAATCAGAGGACCACAAGATGCAGGTATAGGTACATGCTGAGCAAGCCCAACACCAACTATGGTTAAAAGTCAGTAGAAAACCAACTCTAGAGATGTACCTGACCACTACACATGCACTGTAGCACACACACACATTATGCATACACCCATATAAACACAAAACAAAAACAAACAAACAAAAAGCTATCTGTACAAAAACAGGAAAAAAATAAGAAGAAAAACATTATTTCTGTTACAGAATAAAAACTGAACAAGCATGTTGTGGTGGCCCATGCCTTTAATCCCAGCATTCAGGATGCAGAGGAGGGTGAAGGTGAGTTTGAAGGTATCCTAGTCTACAGAAGTTGTTCCAGGACAGGTGTGTTGGGGGAGGTATTACACAGAGAAACCTCAATAAAGAAAAAAGGGAAAATAAGTTAAAAGCTCTGGGCAGGAGGCTGTTTAGAATTAATAGGTAAAATTTCCATTGTGGCTGTAAATACTTCTGTTACATATTTAGTTCATAAGGTCCATTCTAATACCACTCTATAATCTGTAAGAAAAATAAAGGGCATATGCTATAAGTTTATAAAACAGTTAGGTCAGTGAGATGGCTAAGCAGGTAAAGGTATGTGATACTCATTGATGCAAGCCTGCTGACCCGATTTCCATCCCCAGAACTGTGTAAAGGTGAATGGAGAACTTCACAAGATGTACTGGACCTCCACACATGCACAACAGCCTATGTCCACAAACATCTCAAAAATACAGTAATAAATAAAATTTGAGAGCCCTGAATCTAACAATACATTAAATTATGGATTTAAATTCAATAATAATTTAAATAAACTTTACTGTCAATAAGAAGAGCTCAGCAGCCAGGCAGTGAGTGGTAACACACCTTTAATTGCAGCACTCAGGAGGCAGAGGCAGGTGGATCTCTGTGAGTTTGAGGCCAGCCAGGTCTACAGAGGGAGTTCCAGCATTGGCTCCATAGTTACAGAGAAACCCTGACTCAAAAAAAAAAAAAAAAAAAAAGAGAGAGAGCTTAGCAGCCAAGTGTTTGAGTTTTTTGAGATCTATTTAGCCATTCAATTAGTAACAATTTAGACATAAAATGTCAAGGTTCAACCTAAAAACAACACAACAATCTGAAGCTTGTAAAGCTCTTCAATTGGTTATGTATTTACAATGACACTATTTTTCCTCTAACACTAAAGAAGAAGAAATTTTAATAGAATGACTCACCTGTTGACTTGAAAATTTCACTTTTGGATTGTTATCTATCTCCCATAATCCTTCATTGAAACCTTTTCGTTTATTTGGTTTGCCATACTTCTCCTTATTTTCTGAGTAAGGAAATATGTCCTTTGGTCCTAAAAAAGCACTGTTAACAGAAAGGGAGGACGTAAGTGCAAAGCAACCTCAATTCAATATGTATTACGCTACCAGATGACATGATCCAATAAACAATATATATACAAACCAATTTTTTGTGCTTTGTTTTGTTTTTCAAGACAAGGTTTCTCTGTGTAGCCTGGCTGTCTTAGGACTCACTCTGTAGACCAGGCTGGCCAAAAACTCCAGAGATCTGCCCTGCCTTTGCCTGCCTGGTCCTAGGATTAAACATGTGCACCACCACCACCACCCCCACTCTCCCCAACTCCTGCCTCTCTTTTCTCTTCTGGTGCTCCTGCTCCAGAGGGAAGCCGCTCCTCTCCACTCCCCCTTTTCCCATTCCCTTTACCCTAAAGAAAAACCCCTCCCCATGAGCTCTGTCACATGGCCTTTCTCTCATACCAATTTTTAAATTACAACAGTTACCATATCTCCTCCACTGTATAATATGTATATCCAAGACCCACCTTGTCTCCCAGGAAGGTCAATAATTATGTTGATAAAAGCCTGGCTAGTTTTCACAACTTAAATATGGTTACTATTAAACACCTAAATATACGTTTAGAAAGAAATGTTATGAAATTTATTTTGTCAGGCATGGTGGTTCACACTTGTAATCCCAGCACTTGGGGAATGCAAGCAAGAATAAGAGATCAAGGCCATCCTTGGCTACTAAGCAAGTATGAGGCCAGCCTGAACTACATAAAATCCTGTTTTAAAAAAAAAAAAAATACATTTTATCAATGAACTCAGACATCATCTTTTTATTCATCCATATGTACAGTCAATTCTTATCCTTGACAGAAAAGGTAAGTGAACACAAACTAATACCTCTTGAAAGTAGTACATACAGGATTAAATTCCTGTAATCAAAACATTTTCAAAATCCAGTCAAATACCTAGCTTTCATTAATGTGTAATTCAGTTTAAAGATAACTTATTTAAGACAGATATTGGTGGTGCATGCCTTTAATTCCAGTGTTTGGGAGGCAGAGGCAGATGGATCTCTTTGAGTTCAAGGCCAGCCTGGTCTACAAAGTGAGTTCTAAGACAGCCAGAAATCATGTCCAAAGAGAGCTGATTTAATGTTTTCTGGTAATTCTTTTAACATTAAATTCCTAATCAAAGCTTATTTAACTTGTGTTTAAGAGAAAGCATAGCCTTCTTGTACTAACCACTAAACAGCATTTTACCACTAAACTTTAGTTAGAAAATCAAAATGATTCCACAACAGCACACAAAACTTCATTCAACTGGGCAGACTATAAAAGATGTGTTTGTAGTATGAATTGAAACAAGAACATTCAATTTTAATTAGGAATGTTTGCATCAGATAACTTTTTTGCTCCTTTGGTCAAATTTAAAGTTGAGGGCTGAAGAGATGGCTCAGCTGTTAAAGGCTAGGTAGGCTCACAACCAAAAATATAAAATCTAAAGTTGAGTGAGCAATTAAAAAATGAAGGGAGGGTTGTGCACATAAGTACAATACCCAGAGGTCAGAAGATGTCAGATCCCCTGGAGTAGGAGCCGCATGCAGTTGTGAGCTATACAACATAAGGTGATGGGAGCCTGGGTCATCTACAGTTCTCTTAACCATTGATGCATGTCTCCAACACTACCAGCCCCACACAAAAAAAGAAAAAAAAAAAAAAAAAAAAAGAAATTAAGACAAGATCTCAGTAATTAGCCCTGACTGGCCTGGCACTTTATGTATATCATCAGGCTGGCCTAGAAATCACAGGGATCCTGCCTGTCTCTGCCTCCCAAGTATTGAATTAAAGATGTGTCCCATCATATCCTGGACCAAGATCTTTTGTTTTTCCTATTTTGAGAAAGGGCTTATCTGTGTAGCTCTGGCTGTCCTTGAACTCACTCTGTAGACCAGACTAAACCCAAACTCAAAAAGATCTGCCGGTCTCTGACTCCTGAATACTAAGATTAAAGGTGTGAGCCACCACTGCCCATACCAAGATCTTTTTTAATTCACACACAAAAGACATTCAGCATCATTAGCCAATCACAGAAATAAATAAAAACAACAATTTATGGCTGGGATATAGCTATTTGGTACAGTGCTTGTCTAGTATGTAGCAAGTTCTAGGCTCATTCCCAGTATCACAAAGTCCATGTACGGCATAGTGACAAAAGCCTGTTAATGCTTCTACTCTAAAGGTAGAAGCAGGAGCATCTGTTTAAAGTCTGAGGCCTTCGTGATACACATGAAACGTCTCAAAAAAGAAAAGAAAGGAAAGAAAAAGAAAAAAGAACTAAAACGAAGAATTTGGGATTTGGGATATTTATACATGAATGCTCTCTGCAAGTAATCTAGCAGTTTCTCAAATGATTACACATTAAGCTGTCACTTGAACCAAGAATTCCGTTCCAGAGGTGAAAATACAAAGCATACACAATGGATGACTATATAGTTCAGTAGTAAACTAAGACATGCAAAGTCCCGGTATCATCAAAACAAATAAATGAATAAATAATTAAAATATAGACATAAAATATAGACAGTGGGATAATCAAATCACAAGTATAGTAGCACTAGATGCCATGAACCTACTGCTTTATTCAGGTTAATCACACAGTCCATCTTACGGCGTGCTGGGAATCATAATACACACCTAACATTGACACATGTAGATAAGAGTGGTAGGAGTTAAGGAAGTTAAACAGAATTACTATTATAGAAGGCAATAAAAACTCAATCCTATGACTCATTCCTTTATTTCCTCCTGACCACCAGTAATTCCCCATGTACCTTCATTCCTGAAACTGAATTACGCAGGTTTTAAAACAATTTATATAACATATATATTTTAAGATTTCTACAATGGAACATTCACCTTTTACATTAAAAGCACTAAGCAGCAAAATAACTTACAATTTCAGATTTCAGAGAAATAGAGCTCAGAGTATTGCTTCAGATAGCCAGGATAGTTTAAAAAAAAAAAAACAAAAAATCAGAAACACTGTAGAGTGCTAGGACCTGCCTTTAATCCCAGGACTTGGGAGGCAGAAGCAGATCTCTGAGTTCAAGGCCAGCCTGGTCTACAAAGCGAGTTCCATGACAGGGTTGTTACAGAGAAACCTTGTCTCAAAAAAAAAGAAAGAAAGAAAGAAAGAAAATAAGAGAATGTATTACTATTTTAAGGTTCTATAAATAAACATTTATAATTTACATATAATGTAAATATTTTATATAGACTACAAATATATGTTGCTATTAACTCACAAATCCAAGTAGAGATTCTCAAAAGCTTGTCAAAGCTTTACAATATGTGTTATATCAAGAATGTCTAGGCTCAGGTGTATGTGCATGTTGTCAATGAGGATGGCAAGATTGTTTTCTTCTGTTTCCCTCAATCTTACTTTCTGAGACAATGTCTCTCACTAAATCTGGAGCTCACAGATTTGGCTACAGTGACTAGCCAACTGTCTCTGTACCCCAGGGTTAGTTATAGAAGCACACCACTGCACTCAGGTTTTTACATGGGTACTAGTAATCTGAACTCAGGTCATCATGTTTATTTCACACTTTATTGACAGAACCATCTCCCAAACCCAAAATGATACAGTTTTTAAATACTTAATGTTTAGCATATGCCAACTATATTACATGTTCAAGCCTTTTCATGTAATACCCTGCTTATACCCTGAAATTCCAGCATAGATTATATTATTCTTATTATTCTACAAATTAGGAAAAGACCTGCCCAAGGTCATATAACAAATGACAGATTTCTAATCTAACTGTATTTAGGATTGTCCAGTATATTAACAAAATTTATAAAGAGGACTTTAGCACAAGAGCTTTCCACTATCAAATATTAACAACTAATACATGTCAGCCCCTTAAATGATGACAAGATAGGATGTTCAGGCTCTTCAATTGTAATCAAAGAGAAGGAAATAAACCCACCCATCATTTCAACAGAGAATATAAACAGGAAGAACTGAGCTAAGATCTGAATGACTTCAATATCAGAAAGCATAATCTTTCCAGAAAAAAGCAAGAGAACCCTCAGGCAAGGTGAAACAAGGCAGTGAAAACAACAATGCAGGCTGGCTGGGGAGTTGACTCAAGTGATTGATTGAAGTGCTTGCTACTAAAGCCTGAGAACATGAACGAATTCTGGTCCTTAGAACACACATGAAAGTAGAAACAGAAAATGGACCCCACGTTATCCAATCTATGCCTCCCCAACACCATGCACTAATATACAATAAAAACGTGTGGTTAGAAACACAGACTCCCAGAATGGAGAAATGGCTCTGCGCTTAAGAGCACTGGCTGCTCCTCCAGAGGACCTGGGTTCAATTCCCAGCACCCACATGGCAGCTCACAACTATCTATAACTCCAGTTCCAGGAGATCTGACACCTTCACACCAATGCACATAAAACAGTCAAATTATTAAAAAAAAAAAAAAAAAAAAGGAAGAAAGAAAAAAGAAAAAGGAAGGAAGGAAAAAAGGAAAGAAGACAGACTCCCATAGTATCTTATAGGCTTTTTGTTTCATTATTGTGTGTTTTTGTTCTGTTTTAGTTTAGAGAGAAAACAAAGATGAATGGGTAAGGAGGTGGGAGGACCTGGGAGGAGTTTAGGGATGTATTAAGAAATTCAGCTAAAATAATGTGGTTAGGGAGCTAAAAACAGATTAGTTCATACAGGATCTCATAATCAACATTTATTGCTAGTTGGTCATTAGTTATTGGTAATAATAGGGAATCAATGAATATTTTTGGACAAGGAATCTGATTGAAATATAAAGATACACTAATGTAAAAAATACTAATTATAGGAATGATTACAGCATGAACTTGAGCTTTAAAAGAGGAGGTCAATCAGAACTTTGTAGTAAATAGGAGAGACTACTATGAAATCAAGGTTAACATATAGAACAGTGGTTCTCAACTTGTGGGTTACATCAGATATCTTACTATCGGATATTTATAATTCCCAACAGTAGCAAAATTACACTTATGAAATAGCAACAAAATAATTTTATGGCTGGGTATCACCAAAACATAAAGAAATATATTAAAAGGCCACATTAGGAAGGTTGAGAATCAATAATCTAGACTTTTGAGTCTGGTAATCCAACAGAAGTTTTTAACTGGGTCCATATCAGTACTACTTACTAAAAATCAGTTTTGGCTAAATTAGTTCTAAGATAACCATGCATGGGGGCTGGAGATAGATGGCTCAATGATTGAGTATTGACTGCTCTTCCAGAGCAGCAACCACATGGTAGCTCACAAACATCTATAATGGCATTTGATGCTGTCTTCTAGCATGCAGGTATACATGCAGATAGTGCTCATACACTTAAAATAAATAAATCTTTAAAAAAAAACAACAAAGATAACTGCATACCTAAGGTATGGGTCTAGTATTCAAAATTTGACTGCCAAGACAATAAAAAAGGATTAAGGAAAAGAATACATTAGGGAAAGAATTTAGTAACCAATGAATTCTCCTGAATTACTACTTCTGTTTCTATATTTTTTCTTTCCCATCTCTGTAAACTCCGGGTTATTATAATAAACTTCTATCTTAGAAAAATCCAAATTCAAAAATTTAAATTACCCTCCCAAATTTTAGAAGCAGAAAAGATCATCATACACCTAGTTATCACTAATTTATTTCTAAAAACTGTTTTTAAAATGTTAATCAGAACAACAGGGATATAGCAACACTGTCTTTCCAAAGGTAAATGGTATGTGTATCTATCGTAGATTAAAATAAATCTTATTTTGAAATAAAAGTGTTATTAACTATTCAGGAGGAGGCAGTGCACGCCTTTAAACCCAGCTCTCAGAAGGCAGAGGCAGGTGGATCTCCAGGTCAACCTAACTATAGAGTCAGTTCCAGGACAGCTAAGGGTTACAGAGAAACCCTACCTCAAAAAACAAGGGGAAAAAAACATACACACATACATATATATAAAATCATTGGGCCCCACACATCACATATGGTTCCACATGTCTAGGGTAGGCACTGGAACATTTTTTCAACTACAATTGCATGTGATACATTATAGTGCTTGCACCACACCATACAAATCCCTATTTTTATACACAGTCAGTTTCTGTTAAAGACCCCTTTCCCAGGCTAGATGGCTCAGCAGTTAAGAGTACTGGCTCTTTCCAGAGGATGGAGCCCAATTCTCAGCACCCACATGGCAGCTCATATCTGTCTGTAACTACAGTTCCAGGATTTCTGAACGTAGGCAAAATACCAATGGACATAAAACAGACCCCTTTTCCTACTGAATTTAAGAGACTGTCTCTAAAATGTAGAACACTACCCTGAAATCAGAAATTCTGTATTCCTTACAAGTTGTAGTCTCATATACAAAACTCAAACTCAATGTTATGAAGGCCAATCCAATACTAGTTCCAAAACTGTTCTCAAAAAATAATTATGGGCTGGGTAGTGGTGATGCACGCCTTTGATCCTAGCACTTGGGAAACAACGACAGGTGGATCTCTGAGTTTGAAGTCAGCCTGGTCTACAAAACAAGTTCTAAGACTGCCAAAGCTACACAGAGAAATGCCATCTCGGAAAAACAAAAAACAAAACAAAACCAAGAATATAAGGATTGCTCCTACTAGGTTGCCTCTGTTGATATCCCTGGGAGGCCTGCTCTTTTCTGAAGGAAAATAGAGAAGGGGATATGGGGATGAGGGACTAGGAGGAGAGGAAGGGAAACAGTAGTCAGGATGAAATATATGAAAGAATAAAAGGGGGGAAATGCATAATGATAATTGGAGTATCAACAATTTTGTTTCATCTCAAGTAAACTACCCTATTCTATAGAAATTACAGTAAGTCCAACTCAGATAAATTACACAGTCCACATAAGGATAATTAAGTATAGTTATCTAAGAATATAAGCTGGGCACGTAACTGAGATAGCCTTCATGGTTACAAGAACAAAACAGTTCAACATTCAGCTATACAGAATATCAATTTCCTTCACCCAGTCAGTTCCGTAGCCAAGTGTCCACCCGGGGCAGTAGGTCAGACAGACTGCCTCTGGGGATCATAGAAATACACATAGGACACTGTCTAGTTTTACTTTCCCTCTTTTCTTCATCACATTATCTGTGTGGCTAACAAGACAAGACCTACACAGTGCCAGGCAGTCCTTATTTTACTAACAAAGAATACGCAAAGTCTTTTGACTTTCATCCATCCATCCATCACTCTTGGAATTATGGAGAGGATTTCTTTTTGATCATGTAGCATCTATTTCATTAAGTAAACTTTTTTTAAACTCTCCCTTTAATTTCTCCCAAGATGTACTGTCTCTAATCTCTATCTTAAAACAAAAATGCCCAGTCAGACATGGTCGCACATTCATATCCTAGCACTTAAGAGGCAGACAGATCTCTTAAATAGTGAGGGACACCCTGCCTCAAAAAACAAACAACACATGTTCCCAGCATTGAACTGAAAAATAAATTTCAAAAAAATTTTAGGGAATTTTATACAATTTGAAGATCAGCCGAGATATGGTAGTATTTTATCTCTAAACATGGAAGGCAAACACAAGTTGATATCTACAAGTTCAAGTTAGCCTGGTCTACATGTACAGCTACATGTACATGTCAGCCAGGGCTACATGAGACCCTGTCTTTAAAAAAATAGAACGAGTTTTCTACTTCACTGTTACTTCCCCTTGAAATGTGAAATCTCTACTTGCTTCTCCTATGCCTAAACTCTGCAAAATTAAGTGTCATTTGAGCTTAACACTACCAGGACTTACGTCTCATGGGTTCCAAAAAAGAAAATGGGTAGTTTGTTTGTGGGTGGTTTCACAGCTCCATCAGGAACTTCATCTACCTAAAAGAAAGATCAGAAAAATTAAAATTTCTTAAATCTTACACACCTCATTACACATGAGCTAACTCAGAATAAGACACCCCAAATGGAGGCTGATACAAAATTGACCCAATTTACAAATCTATTAAAGTTCTTAAAGGCAAGATTTTTTCCCCCAGAACTCTGTTGGCAAAATTTTCACTGATACCAGTGCCCCCCCCCCTTTTTTTTAATACATCTAACATTTTTATCCTGATTTCTTTGGGGAAAAAAAAAAAAAAAACTAAGGTTATCATGTGCTTGCTATTAAAAATCATCCCAGCAGCAACATTTTGTGCAGCTCTGGCTGTCCTCTCTGTAGGACCAGGCTGATCTTTAACTGAGACCCACCTGCCTCTGCCTCCCAAGTGTTGAGATTAAAGGCTTGTACCACCACTGTCCAGCCCAGCAGTAAATCTTTTTTGTTTTGTTTTTCAAGACAGGGTCTCTCTGTGAAACAGTCCTGACTGTCCTGGACTCGCTGAGTAAACAAGGCTGGCCTCGAACTCAGAGATCCGTCTTTCTCTGCCTCCTGAGTGCTGGGATTAAAAGCATGCGCCACCACTGCCCAGCTACCAGCAGCAAATCATAAAGCAGTGTACCACGATTAGCTTCCTAAAATCCCCAATTATTTCCTCTTTAAAACACATTTGACATCAAGCATTTCATATAGAAGTCTCAACCTGCTGAGCATTCCTGTAGGAGGGCTGTACAAATAAGAGTAATGTGAGGCTAGAGAAATGGCTTGGTGGTTAAGAGCATTTGCAATTCTTCCAAAGGATCCAAGTTCAGTTCTCAACACCCACCATCAAGCCCCTTATAGCAACTCTTCTGGCTTCCTCAGGTACTTACATACATATGGCACACAAACATACACACAGAAATAATTTTTCTAAAAAGTAATATAAAAGAAGACAGGCAAAAAAGTTTAAAGCATTTTTCCCAATGTTTGAACAATTAAGAGTCAGAAAATGCCAGACTGTGGTGCAGCATGCCTTTAATCCAGGACAGCCAGGGCTGTTAAAGAAATCCTCTCAAAAAAAGAGAAAATAAAAAACCAAATTCAGTTGCTTCTAAGAAAAAGAAAATGAAGGGGAAAGGATAAAAGCATCCTACTCTGATCCAAATTAACTCATTAATAGTAGAACTTGTAGCTGTAGTGATGTCTCAGTGGTTAAGAGTACTTCAATTCCTAGTACCCACACAGCAGCTCCTAACTATTCAGGAATCTAACAATTTTGCACAGCATTAAGTCATGGAAATGGTGTACAGATATATATATAGATAGATAAATAGATAGATAGATAGATAGATAGATAGATAGATAGATAGAGATATAGATATCTGCAAAACACCCATGAACATAAAGCATTTTTAAACTATTAATTTTTCAACTGGTGGTGGTGGCACATGCCTTTAGTCCCAGCATTTGGGAGGCAGAGGCAGGTGGATCTGAGTTCAAGGACAGGCTGGTCTAAAGAGCAAGTTCCAGGACAGCCAGAATGACATGGAAAAACACTGTCTTGGGAGAAAACAGTTAATTTTGAAGGAAAAAAGAGACCTATTTAAATCAATAGGAAATATTCTGATCCTCCAAAGGCTATTTTTTACCTTTAATAGCATAGCACTCTCAGTCACCCAAAGTGTCTAGAGGATGGCTTTAAAAAAAAAAAAAAAATACACACACACACACACACACATATATATATGTATATATGTATATATATATATATATATATATATTTTACCCCCCCCCAAGATGGGGTTTCTCTGTGTAGCTCTGCCTATCCTAGAATTCACTTTGTAGACCAGGCTGGATTTGAACTCACAAAGACCCACCTGCCTCAGTCTCCTGAGTGCTGGGATTAAACGCAGGCACCACCAACACCAGGTTAAAAAAATGTTTAATTGATTTTTAACTAAATGTAGGTGTATGTGCACATGTGTACAGGTACCAATTTTGAGCTGGAATTTCTCACAGACCACTGTGGTTTTAGCTGCCTAGCATGAGTGCTGGGAACCAAATACAGGTACACTGGAAGAGCAGCAAATGCTCTTAACCAAAGACACACATCCAGCCATCAAAAGGAGAATTTTTTTGTGGGGTAGGGGGTAGTTGAGACAGGGCATCTCTGTGTAGCTTTGGAGCCTGTCCCTGAACTCACTCTATAGACCAGGCTGGCCTCCAACTCAGAGATCCGCCTGCCTCTGCCTCCTCAGTACTGGAATTAAAGACATGTGCCACCCGTTGATATAAGTAGAAATTTTAAAAGCAATTACACCTGGCTTCTCACTACATTGTGGCATGGAACTGTGAATATGGATATGGAACTCTGAATATGGATATCAGATAATCCTGGACTTTTATAACACCTCAAAATAAGCACAGATGCCTTGTTATCTGTAAAATGTGTACGTGTGGTGGTGGGGGTGGGGGTCCTTAAACCTTCCCAAGTCCAGCAGGCCTTATTTAAAGTTGAAATACAGTGTATTAGAAGTGTATGATTATATGTAACTAAGAACTGGAGGATAAAGAAATTCAGTTTTAGTTCACTTACGTAAAGGTGTTTGCAATATATACTGAAATCAAAGCTCGAACAAAGCAATAGTTACAAGGTTTTCCTATAGGAAACAAATGAGAACACCAATATATAGACAGACAAAAGTTTATGACTAAGGTTTGTTCAAATAAGGCTCTACCAAAAAAGTACACCTCCAGACAGGGGAAAGCTGGGGAAGGACAGCAGTGCTCTACGTAATGACTCTAACAAAGGGATCTCCCCTTCATCTTGCCTGCTAACATAACTATAACAATGGGATTTATTATTTTTAAGAAATACCTTTCAAAGATTAAATGAATCAGGCAGTGTTGGCACACACCTTTAGTCCCAGCACCTGGGAGGCAGAGGCAGGTGGATCTCTGAGTTCCAGGACAGCCAGGACTACACAGAAAAAAAACTGTGGAAAAACAAACAAACAAAAAAATAAAAACAAGTGAATTGTGTGGAAAATAATTACAGTTTACAGCAGCAGTTTATTTTTTAAATGATTGAGTTTGTCCAATCAAAATTCTGTAAGTACTATCCATTATGTTTTGATCCTAGGCACCATTAAAAACTAACAAAACAAAAAAAAAAAAAGAAAGAAAGAAAAAAAAACCCTATTTTTTTCTGAAAATGGAGCTTGAGTGTTATGTCTCATCTTGAGTCTTAAGACTTCTCCGGTTACAGGTGAACCCAGGGTATGGTCTACCCCTCCCTGCCCCCCCATAGGAATATAGGAGAAAAACGTAAAACAACTTCTTCAAGGTCATAAAGCAAGGGATATGAATAAAAAGATCCAAGTGCATCGTCATCTGCAAAGCCTGTATTAAATATGCATAAATCTAGTTTAATCATTTCTGGCATGCTGCAAGGATTTGTAATTTTCCTATTTCGATGACTTTTCTATTTTCAAAATTCCAAAATCAAGGAAATGTCAAGGGTTTTCACTCATTTTTAAACATAAAAATCGTACTTGATGATCTCGCCTACAATGGAACATTAAACTGAATGTCATCTCTAAATACTTCCTATTAAGAACACCTGTCAGACTCAAAAGCAAGCCATTAGTGAAACCGCGGGTGTGCAGGAAAACAGAATTTTACAACTGCATGGGAGAGTACCGAGAAAAACTAAAATGAAGGGTTCCAAGTAACGGTAAAGGGAAGCGAGGGGGAGGAAGGACCGAAAGGAAACGGAGAAGAAACGATGGGAAGCAGGCCTCTGGAAAGGCTGCCGCACCGCTACACCGGAGCTACAAATCACTTACTCGAGCTGGCCAATGAGGATAACCTTTCATCTTGGCGAAGATGAGGTCTCCAGGTTTGAAATCGCGAGTCATGTTTGAGGGGCGACGCCGGGAGTCCCAAGACCAGAAGGGGGAGCAGCGCAGCCGCGATCGGGAGATGCGAGCGCGGACACGAGCTGGGACTGGCGGGCCCGCGGGCGGGGGAGGATGCCTCGGGGTGTCCCGACGCGCCTGCGAGGGACAGCAGGGAGGGCGGTTAAAGCGCAAACCCCAGGGAGGGGCCGCGGGGAGGAGGGCAGGGGGAGGGGAGGCTGCGGAGGGGGAGGGGGAGCCGCCTGCGCGCCTCCTCAGAGCGCGGCCTCGGCCCCGAGCAGCGCCGGGGCCTGCGGTCGCCGCCACCTGAGGCAGGGATGCTGCCCGGCCCCCGGCCCCCGGCCTCCCACCCCATCGCTCGCAGGGCTTTTCCCACGGGCCGCAGCCCACGAGGGAGGGGCGCGGCGGGAGAGGAGGGAGGCAGTGAGCGCGGCCGCCCGCTTCCCACCCGCGCCGAGCGGGGGCGGGGCGGCCCTCACCTGCCGGGCGGCGACGCTGGAGCTGCGGGGCGCGCTGGCCGCCTCTGCCCACGTCCACGCCGGCCACCTGCGCCACCAGCTGCCGCAGAGGCGTCTCAACGGCTCGGAGCTGCAACCGCCACCGCCACTGCCGCCGCCGTCGCTGCGCCGCTCCCGCGCGGCTCCCGCTCGGCGCCCGCTAGCGCTGGGCCGTACCAACTGCACGCCCAGGTGGGGGCGGCGCAGCGACCGGAGAGGGTCGTGGCTCGGAAGCTGAGCTCCTAGAGACCCAAGGGCCCACAGGTGCTCCTACCTACAGGGAGCTGCAGCCAGGTGCCGCGGGGCGGGAGTGAAGGGAAGGGCCTCGAGTGAGGCGCGCCCGAGAGGCCCGCCGTCTTCCCCCGCGGCTGACACAGTGGTCGCGCCCGGCCCGCCCCTGCTGGCTGCTCTGCGTGTGTGTATTTGTATGTGTACTGTATGTAAAAGGCGGAGAGGGAGGAAACGATTGTTGTGCACCAGGTTTGGGGGCGGGTATCCGGGCCTGTAGCCCACGGCTGCATGTTTAAGAGAAACTGGCAGTCCAAGGTGCTTGTTCTCGCATCCTTCTCCACGGGGGAGGGGGAGTGGTAACTGTAATGCTCCTGCGCGGTTTACATCATCCAGAAAGAGAGCTTTGCACAAACCCAGAGATCAAATTAGAAGCGGTTGCAGGGTGGTGTGCACCTTGTAGGCCTCTTAAACTTCGCAGAATGGGCTTTGCGGTGTCCTTTTTGGGGCGGGGAGGGGGACTGTAACATGAGAAAGCCTTATTTCATTTCTTTGACATTTTAACCACGGAGAACCGTTAAGAATAATGCAGTCCCAATGAATGCAAAACGTTCAGGGTACATAACAATGACACCAAAGGCGTAGTTGGGTTGTTAGGATATGGATTTGGGCCCAAAATGAATTTTAGCTGCACTTAAAATTTTATTTCCTTAAAGAGTGGCAGCTGGTAGGTGATACCAGAGAGAAGTGTTACTAACCCCTACATATTTCCTCTCTTAAAGGTGATCCTATTTGTGATCCTTTAGCCAATGCATGTTTTTAATATTTTGTAATATACCTGGCCTTCTGATGTAGATTGACACTTCATGGTTTTTACTGTACCAGAACTGTCTAATTTTACTTGTCCATTAACACTCAGGTTCCCAATAAATGTATAGTAAATTAGAAAGCATCTAAGTATTTTAAAAAATGAATCTTTTCTTTCATCCTTCATTGAATCTCCCCCAAAATGCTATTTATAATTAAAGCACTGTTTGGTGTTGAATATACAGCCATAAACAAGATCAGATATGTCCTACATAAAAAAGGCTAGAAATATTAAGGACATTATAAAATAGGTAAGCATTAGTATCTATCTAATACTGCTTTTAAGTAAAGACTCAGCTGAGAATAAATCAGGAAAAGCTTTGTTTGAATAGGGAAAAATTGAGGGGTTTTCATTTTTAAAGGGATACTCCATGCCTTTAAAAGAAAATAGACACACCAGTGTTAAATACCCTGCAAGGGGCAACTGTAGATCTGCCTTGTGCAGAGGGTTCCATGTGGAACTAAAAGAAATAAAGGGAATATTGGTGACATTACTTCAAGCTTCCCATTCTGAATTTGATATTGTGTATTAGGGGGGCTATCCAAGCTTGCATGGCAAGAAAGAGGTAAAATTGATTATTTAAAACTGGACTGTTCCCAGGCAGTGGTGGTACACGCCTTTAATCCCAGCACTGTGGAGGCAGAGACAGGTGAATCTCTGTAAATCTACAAAGCCTAGTCTACAAAGCTAGTTCCAGGACAGCCAGAGTTAGACAGAGAAACCCTGTCTTGGAGACATCAAAAAAAAAAAAAAAAAAAAAAAAAAACTGGATTATTGATGTTTCAATGCAGATGGGAGCAGAAAGCAACCCTTTTTTATGTGACTGTTGATTAAGAAGGGAAGGGAAGAAAATAAAGGAGGGAAGAGTACAACTAAGCAATTACCAAAACAATTGTCAAGTGTGGGTGGTAAACCTTGGGCTCCAAGAGGGACAGAGAGCGGTCCTAACCCTGAGTAATAACTATCAAAGCAGCACCCAGCTATCGTTTTTTTTTTTTTTTTTTTTTTTTTGTCGGCACCTCCCCTCCCGTTGCCCTCAGTTCTGTAGGGTCTTAAAACAGCCATTGTGCTAAGGCTTCACGGCACGGGCTTTACCTGAGGACTTGCTAGCAGCTCAGCCCCTCCCCCATCCGCTGATCTGCATTTTAACCAGATCCCTAATTTTGGAGGGTTTTTTTTGTTTTGTTTTGTTTTGTTTTGTTGTTTTTCTTTCTTTAGTTGTGGTGGGGCCACTGCCTATGGAGATCAGGGGACAGTGTTCGAGTAGGTTCTCTTTCCACCATGTGGGTCCAAGTTTAAACTCCGGCCACCAGGTTTGGCAACGGGGGGGAGGGGGGGAGGCCCTTACCCGCTGTGCCACCTTGCTGCCCCACTCCCATCCCAAATTGTAGAGAAAATTTACTGTGGTTATGGCTGTAATCCATGCAGCAGTAAAACTCAGGCTGGGGATGAGAAATTAGAGGCCAACCTGTAGGCAAAGCCTTTTCTGAAAGACACACACACAGAGAATATCACATTAAGATGTATATTATTATTAAAAGATAGCTTTGTGTTAGTGCTAAATGGCCATGCCAACAGATAAAGGAGGTGGTTATTGTGAGTGGGAATAATCAGAAAATAAGAAAATTTTTAAAAAACGGAAATGCACTTGATGTATTAGTATTGAACCAATAGGATACATACACTCATTAGCAGTACATTTTGGCAATTTTAGCAAGTAGTAGTGTGACCACAACAGGCGATACCTTTTAAACAACAAAGCAAGGCAAAACAGGTGGTGGTTTAAGCCTCTGGAGAACAAAGGGCAATGATCCCTGGGAACAGCAGTTCTGAATCTAAGTGGGAGGGAAGGAAAGGGAGGAGGGGGTGGAAATGGCTAGGTGTGTGGAAGCCACTGGCAGAGCTTTGCACCTCCCCCTACACACACACACGCACACAAACACCCAAGAAAGAATAAACTTTTAAAATAACCAGCTAGCCAAAGAGGGCAGGCAAACCTAAATGTGCCTGGGCAAAACCCAAGCTACATTCTTCCCATTCTATAGGTGAGAAAGCGGGCTTTTAGAAGTTTGTTTTTTTTTTTTTTTTTTTTTTTTGGGGGGGGGGGAGGCTTTTAGAAGTTAAGGAACTTTCCCAAGCACACGTGGAGTCAAGAAGCCTGAGCTTACTTGCAGCCCTTCAGTTCTCTGTTCTGCACCCTTTTGTGATTTTGCAAGCCCTCTAGGTTGCAGGAAAGCTGGAGGTTGCAGAAGAATGAGCATGCTCCATAATTAGAAAAAGATGCTGGAAGTAGATGCAGCCCAGTTCTCTTATTCCAGCTTCAAATTCCCTAACAATCTCCCCCCAACCCACCCCATTCCCCAGATGGTCCCATTTACCAGCTCTTCTGTTTAACTCTTTCTGGGCCTAAATAATTCAATCCAAAAATCACATCTAGCTATCTTCTTCTAGTGACTTAATTTCTTTCTTTCTTTCTTTTGTTTGTTTGTTTTTGTTTTGTTTGTAGAGACAGGGTTTCTCTGTGGCTTTGGAGGCTGTCCTGGAACTAGCTCTTGTAAACCAGCAACTCACAGAGATCCACCTGCCTCTGCCTCCCGAATGCTGTGATTAAAGGCATTCACCACCACTGTGACTTAAATTCTAATTTACAATCTTCCTGGTCTTTAGAGCACTTAGAACCAACACTGTGTTCATTGGTGCCCATGCTTTGCAGGTACCAGGTAATTTTTTTTTCAAGATAGAATTGCTAATAATGATAAGCATTGACACAACTCTAATTCTTTAGGCTAAGAAAACAGGTCAGAAGACACATGAGTCTATGTCATGTGCTCCTCAGGAAATAGAGATTGGAGCAGCAGGTCTCAAACCTGTGAATCATGAAGGGATCACATATCATATATTTAAGATTAATAATGGGGGAAAAAAAGGTTCCTAAGAGTAGCAAAACTACAGTTATGAAGTAGCAACAAAATAATTTTATGGTTAGGGGTCATCACAACACGAAAACTGGATGAAAGGGTTGCAGCATTAAGAAGGTTGAGAACAACTAGGCTGGAAGCCAGCCTTTAGCCAGCAGGCAAGAGGCCTGGCAATCCTTAGGGCTGGAAACAAAAAACTAAATGAAAATACTCATATTTAATTTTATGATTTTTTTCATATACTTAAGGTTGGCTTTAAAGGCAGTAATTTTTTTTTCTCTACAAATCATTTAATAGGACTAGTAAGATGGCTCTGTGGTTAAAAGTGCTTGCTGATCTCCCAGAGGACCTGAGTCAGGACCTGAGTCACATGCACGTACCACACAGACACACATACATACATACACACTAATTTTAAAAGAAAATAAATTTTAAAATATATTTAATAAAAGTATTTCCAAATGAAGCTTGTTGTTTATTACAAAAATATTCTTTCACACTTTGACACAACTCTTCTCTCATATGGTCTTGCTAAACTACCTTATCCTTAATAATAATTACTAATCTGTTTTATTATTTCTAATCCCAAAGATGCAAGAAGAAAGACCACCAACAAACCATCATGGCCAAATTAATTAAAGCAAGCTTTTTGTTTGTTTGGCTTTTGTTTTGTTGGGGTTTTTCAAGACAGGGTTTCTCTGCAGTCCTGGCTGTCCTAGAACTTGATATGTAGACCAGGTTGGCCTCAGACTCAGAGATCTGCCTGCCTCTGCCTCCTGAGTACTAATTAAAGGCATGTGCCACCACCACCTAAGTTTTTTGGATTTTTGCTCTTACTTTTTAATATAAGTATCTCTGACTTATTATGTTTTCCACAGTGATTAGTAGGAAGTTTTTAGCTTGAATATATCTATTTTGAAGATTTATTAACCTAGAATAACATGAAGATTAACAGCTTTTTAAAAATCGAGTTCATGTACCAGTCGGAAAATAGAAAGTAGTTGAAAGAGGTTCTTAAATGTTCTATGGATACTAATTACCCTGCTAGGGCTGAAGGGGTAGCTCAATAAAGTACTTGCTGTGCAAATGAGAACATTATTTCAAACCCCAC